GCCGCGTTTCGCGGTTCGGCCGCGATAACAATAGTCTTTACTCGCCAACTTTTCTGCGAACGGGCGATACCGTGGCCCGCGAACTTTCGGAAATTTCGAAACTGCCCCCGCCTGTTCCCGCGGCAACACACCTCCCGCGGATCCGAGACGGGCAATTTCAGCCGCGGAAACTTTCATAAATGTTGCATTAGACACCGGCGCGATAAAGTCTTGACCCAGTTGCCGCGTCTTTTGACCGGGTCAGAATGCTGGCCTTGTCGGGAACTTTCGTCGCGAAATTTACGGACCTTGTTCGCGGCGCCCGCGCTTCCGCCGCCGGATAAATGACCGCCCTTTTAGCTCCTTATTTCCGGGATACCGTGTATTTCACCCCCGCCGACGTTTCGTTTGACTTCGCCGCGGCCCAACAATGGGACTTTTGTTTCGGAGCGCACACCGGTGAAGCGGAAGGGAAGTAGATTTCTATGACGCCGCTGGTTCGACGAGTAATACTGTATTCACGGGAAACTCGCGGATTAACGGGGTTATGGAAGCTTTGAACGGATTCTACTTGAAACACGAATCGCCCAACGTTTTCGAAATATGTTACATTATAAATTTCGATGAGCTAAGTAACGGTTCTACAAGGTACTTGTAACATATTCGAATAAAGACTTTCCTCTCGCAACGGATAATTCATCGGTGTTAAAAATATTCTCGATAATTGTACACTAAAATTAGTAGGACAAGCGTTGCTAGTTAATTATTCTACTGAAAACTACGCGTTCGTCCATATAGATCGCGAAAATTAGCTTCGAAGTTAGAGCATTACAATATATATTCTTATAATTGCAATCAAAGTCGACCTACACTACTAATACTTAAAACAATTTAGTATCCGTCAAATTGGGTTCCGTGAATCTAGCTATCAAACAATCATAGTCCAACTATTCTATATTCCCATTTGCGTTATGTCCCAGACGAGTCTACAGTAAACATCGAAACACAATCGAAACTACAGTACTCACCATCCGACGGTGAAGTGCGCGACGAGCATGGTCATCGTCATCGCCTGCGCGGCGTTTGTCTGCTTGATGCTGTTGCAGAGGATCTTCACGTCCTGGTCCTCCTGGCCGGGCACGTATTGTCCGTCCAGGGGGCCGGTCTCGAACCTCGAGGAGCTGGTGTTCGATCTGGTCACGTGTAGGGACGCGTTCCTCGGGTGGAACGTGTAAGACCTGGTCAGATCGAGGGTGTGCCAGGTCAGTCCGCCGCTGGAATGGCCGGTCAACCAATTGGGAAATCGGCACTGGCCGGGCGGCGAGACTGGAACACCGTACAGGAACCAATTTATTTAACGCTGATTGAACTGCCTCGAGTCCCCCGGGCTCCTCCTCTCCTCGCCGGGCCGCGCGTTAAGCGGGAAGCTTTAAAGCTTTCCCCTCCCCCTTTTAAAACGTATTTAAAGTATGGACTTTGTAATTCCTGATTGCCAACTCGGCCCCCGCCCCCGACTTCGTTCCTCTTCACCTGTTTCTTTCTCCTCGGTCCTCTCTTTCCGCGTCGAGCACCGTATCGCACGGTTCGTTTCGCCGGCGCCGATGGAATATTTGACGAGCGCGACGAATGGACTCGCGCCGGCCGATCGGAGCGACCTACGGGCCGATCGGTTAATCGTGTTTGATCGTCTCCGGTCGCCGCGTTTCGTCGCGGGTCGACCCTACGCTACACAATGCCTCGAAAGTGTTCCGTCGGAATCGTTAATTCCAAGGGCGAGGCGTTTGTTCAACGGACAGGACGCGTTAACGAGGAAGAGTCCGCGAGCTTCGAAGGGAATCGCGGGACGACAAATACCGAGTCTGTCTCGGAGAATATCAAAGGACGTAAAACGCGCGTTCTTCTTCTCCTTTCTTACTTCTTTCGTCGCTGAAATAATAGACGTTCCCACCGATTTACCGAATACAAAACGACGCCGTAAAGCGCCGCTGTTACATCTGCCCCTTCGTTACTTCTTTTATCATCATTACACGGTTTAGTGCATATTCGATGTCGTATTCCTCGGGCCGCGAACGCGTTTTACATGCAGAACGGAGATTGAAGCTCGAACGGCGGCGTTTAATATTTTTTATAGTTGCGGAATGGTGTACGGCGCCCTCCGCCGATTTCGATCGCGTTTTTCGCGTGTAAACAGCACGGTTTATCGAACGGTAATTGATTTAAACGTAGCCAAAGAAAATATTCAAAACATACATCTTCGTAAAATAGTAGATTTTAATTGCACACTCGTCAAATCCAGGAATGGAGATCCAGAAATCAGCATTATTGCCGGCGCTCAAGCGATAGACTCCGAATCCCGCGTTTTCACGGGGCCGGTGAATGTTGAGGAAAGTCACGTTAATTAAAGAATCTTCTCGGAAAGCCCGTAGTCACGGTTGGCCCAGATACGCGAGCCGTTGCCGAACGCGCCGATTAATAAGAAACGGTTCGCGGTAGGCTGAGCGGAAAGGAACGATCCGTCGCGTGAACGTTTGCGGCGCGTAACCGGTCGGGGGACCGAAAGAGAAAGCGGGAGAGAGGAAAACTTTGTTCATTACACTTGAAAAAGAATTCCCTTTTCGCCGTTCCGACCGTCGATCACTGGGAATCGTCGAATTTCACTCTGGAACGATTCAAACGAAATCGAGAGTGTAGTCGAGCGGACGAAGAAGAGATCAACGGAGGGACGGACGGGGGGCCGGCCGGGGACAACCTCCAAAAAGTTCGCAGTCACCTCCCCCCTCGGCCCATAAAGTCCTCGACGTTCCGGAACGACAGCCGATAAAACGTCGACGTAGGTATTCGACGGCGAAACAGAATAGTTGGAGTATCTCGCCGGTCCGGTCCGCCGGAAACCAGTCTTTTTATCGCGCTCCCTCTCTCTCTCTCTCTCTCTCTCTCTGTTCCTCCCTCCGTCCTTCCACTTCCACTTCCGCGCCGCGGGTGTAAAATCCGAGCGTGAGAAGGAGCCACTTCGATGGTGTTGGCCGCCGGGCGACTAGTGAAAGGGTTGAAGGGGGAAAATGGATAACAAGGGGGCGCCAGCACGAAAACGAACGAGAGGAACACGCTATGGGATAATAGCTGGATGGACGGATGGATGTACGGGGTGCGTTAAAACGTGTCTTGGAATGTTTGTGCACCGTCTGACAGGTGTTTGGACACAGTGGATCGATCGTCGATCGAAGAGTCGGAAGTAATCGAAGTTGCTTATGATTTCGAACAGTGAAATGGATGTTGAACGTTATTAACCAGTTAAGTGTGGAACTTAGATTGAAGAATCTCTCAGTGCGTGCAATAAAATGAAATAATGAAGTGTATGCTCGTTAAATGCAGGCCAAATGCATTTGAAATATATCCTAACGAAAAACTAAAGCGAAACGAAGAAGAATTACATGTTTGAAAAAATAAATAATCCATCGTTGAAAATTTGACACCATTAAGAGTTTTAAGATGACGTGTATACTCAATTGGAAGTCTTCCGAAACACTAATGATCAGCTTCCGGCACAACGCAATAATTAACGCATTCCCGAACGAAAAGCGATCCCGAGCCGCGCGATTCCATCGGCTCACCCCGTATACGAGAAAAGAGAGCAACGCGGGTCAATCGAGGAGGAAGAGGGCGAACGAAAGCGGCCGGGGGACGAAGAGGGATGATTGAAAACAGAGAACAGGGCGGAGGGTAAAAGTGATAGCGATAGTGTGACAATAGAGGTGTAAAGAACACGGTACAAAGGGCGAGCAAAAAAAGATCGTACACGAAAAAAACGAGAGAGAGAGAGAGAGAGCGACGAGGAGGCACGATGACGTTGCGGGGTTATAGGGAAAGGAAAAAAGAGCCCGAAGAAAATAGTATGATAGAAAAAAGAAACACGAGGGCGCGGCGGAGTGTACGTTCGGCTAGTTTTATGGCACGTAAAAGCATTGTTGCACGGCCTGGGAAAGAATGGGAATAATTCAGCGGCTCCATCGATAAGTTCGGGACGCGGGCGAGCGAGATACAAATTCCGCGATCGTAAAAATCGTATGGCATTCCCCTTGTTTCGCTCGCTGTCGTCCTTTATCCTTTCGCGGTATCAAGCAACGCGCGCCCTCGCGCCCTCTCTCCTTTGGTAGCTCGATCATTCTCCATCGAACGCGTTCCTCCGTCCCTCTCTTCGATTTCGCGCGTACCCACCCGCTCCCCCTTCGCCGGGCCGCGCTCTCTCCGTTATTTTTCCCGTTCCACGGGCGTGTATTGCCAATCTGCATTTTAACGATACCGATAAAATCTGACGGAAAGTTGAATTTGTAACTCCCCCTGCCCGATCGGCTGGCTGCTGCGAACGACGCGGCTCCGAACGTCGAAAGGGATCCGTCGGTGTGTCGCGATTGATTTCTAATATTCATGCCCGACGACTCGACGGATCCTCGCGCGCGACCGACGCTCGTTCGGATGTTTCTCGTGCGCCTTTTTTCTCTTGTCCCCAATTCCCTTTTTTTCCCGTTTCTCCTCCTTTTTTCTCCCCGGCCGCCGCGTTCCTCCTCGTTTTTCCTTCGCGTCCCCGTTCTCCTTTTTCGATTCCCGGCCGCTGGAAGGGAAAGTTCGCGCGGCACGTTCGCTCGATTAACGTTTCAGCCGCCGCGGGGTAATTGCCTATCGGAGGGTGTCCCGCGGAACGCTTCGACGTTCCGAGACATCTTCCGCGCCGCGCCGCACGTTCCGAGCAGTTATGAAAACGCAATCGAGTCATTTTGCCGGGGTATTGACTCTGCCGGCGGAAGAGTCCGGGCTAATTGAACAAACTTTCGAGACGGGACCGGTGGATGCGGTTAAACGCACCGCTCGCTCGCTCCGCGTCTCGGGGAGACGGGGGGGAGAAGGTGAAAGTGTCTTCGGTTGAGCGCGAGGGGAGGGAAGGGACGAGGGAAGCCGCGAGGGAAACCGAGCCAGAGAAAGGGCGAAAAAGATTTAATGTTAATCCATTTTCCGGGCTGCTTCTCCGCGTTACTCTCTCCTCCCTTTCCCCTTTCGCTTCTCTGCGGCGTTTCCGCAAGAAGGATCGAGGTATTAACGACCACGGATGCTTACGAGGCACACCCTCGACGCACCTGCTTGTCTCGAGGCCTCCGCCGTACCCCGTTTTTCAGCCGCGACAGTTTTATCCGCGTGTCGGCGAGTCCCGACTCGAGGGGTGTTTCTGTTTCTTGGCCTGTACTCGGGGATTGCTGCGGGATTTCTTTTTGCCGACCGAGCAACGTGTTTTCCGGGATTTACGTTAAGTTATGCGAGCGTGGAAATTCTCTTTCGATTATTCGCAAATGAATTTCAACCCTTCGGGCTGAGCAAGGTTTTTGACCAGTTAAGTGTGGAATTTAGTTTGAAAAATCTCTCGGTGCGCGCAATAAAATCAAATAATGAAGTGTGTACTCGTTAAATGCAGGGAAAATGCGCTTAAAATATATCCTAACGAGAAACTAAAGCGAAAAGAAGAATTACATGTTTGAAAAAATAAATAATAATCCATCGTTGAGAAAGTTGGCACCATTAAGAGTTTTCAAATTGTTTTCTTGCAATCGTGATATTTTCTACTAAGAAAGTATATAAAAGAAATATTAATCAATTAGGATCTCTTCCAGTTTTCAATTTTAAAATTTTGATGCGATTCGATATTTCTGTTCGTCGTATCCAGAGATTCTCCAGCGTTCTCTCGAATGTGGAGCATCGCGGGAAACTACTCGCGTTGTAGCGCACTCGTTTCCGCGAACCGTTGCCGAGAAATCCTTAGCAATTATTCAAGGAAACCGTTCCTTCACAGATCGCGAATTACGAGAAAAGAATTTTTTTAAATCGTTTCCTTGACCCGGGGAACGGGAGTTACCCCATAAAATGATCCGAACGCAGCGCGGCGGGGGCGAGAGGCGGTTGCGCAAGGCGCAGCTTAAAGCGAGAGAGATTCTGGAAATCCGCTGAAGTGAAATCCGTTAACGAAGTTTGCCGTGAAACTGTACGCAGTAAGGGTACCGGCTTGTAAACTCCGGCTGGAAAGAGGCGGACCTCGAAAAAAAAGGAGGGTAGGAAGGAGCCCGATGCAGCGGAACGAGAAGAAAAGAAGCTGTACACCGGCCCGGAGTCGAGTAGCGTGTAAATATTCCTCCTCCGCGCTGCGGACCGCCATTTTGACGCGTTCCGTTAATGACACTGCCGTAGAGGGGTGAATTTTTCACGCTGCGATTTCGCAGACGGCGGACGTTCTCCGCGCCTCCCCCGGGATTCGTTCTTTTCAACGTTCCGTAACCCTCTGACCTTATTCCCGCGCGTCGACTTTGTCCGTCTTAATCGCTCCAGCCTTCCGCGTCGACGCGGAACGCTCGCATCGGCGACGCACCTGTGCGTTCGTATTCTGAACTGCCTTTGCTCTTTGAAAACCATTGATATCTCGAGCGTCGTCATTCCTTTCGTGTATTAAGTAGATAATACTCTTAACCCTTAGCACTACAGATGGTTCTGTAATCTATCAGCAACTGCAACTAATTTTTATAGTATCCCTAGCGAAAATGGGAAATGCTATAACATTTCTATCTTTTATTTTCCTTAGTACAAAATTCGGATGTGTGGAGAATCGAATAATTTTAGGGTAGTTTCTTTAAGACTACAGAGTTCAAAGGGTTAACTCTTAACGGTAACATTCAAACGATAAACGATCTCGGTAATTATCATTTCGATCGATTGCATCATCGTTCTCTCAATTGGAGATTATTTCTTTGAATTACGAGAGGTTACCAATAAAACTGAGTGTAACGAATGGAATAACGTGAAGTTAGACATTTACTATATAATTACAAGGATTCGTAGTGCAAGACTAAATAATAATATCCATCAGTATATCGTATCCAGTTCCCGTCGACCGCGTATCTCTGAATCGGATTCGTAAACTGCGTTTCGCATTCGTGCTGAACGGCGTTTCGGTAAACAAGACAAATGCTGGTTGCGATTACGGGGTCGATACAGCGAGCGTGGCAGGGCAAAGCGTTTCAAGATGGAAAATCACGGTTCCTCGTTACCTTTCATGAGAGTCATGGTCCGCGATCCCTCCATGGGGCTGAACAGGCCGTTGCACGTGGCGTCTCCGCTCTGCGCTACCCGGTATATCTCGGCCGCACCCTCCGGCACCGGTCCGCTCTGTAAACCGACATCATGATCCATGGCTCCCATGCCCATGGCAGCTCTGTGCAGATTACCCTGCACTGTCTGCCCGGCCTTCTCGTAGACGAAGCATCGGTATCGATCTTCGTTACTGGACGCGTGTCCGTGATGTAAACGGCCGACCAGGTAGCGGCTGCTGCCCTCCTTCCAGGTGGCCAGGCATTCCAGCTCCTCCACTGAAACCGACGAAACGACCGATTTTCAAGCGATACTGCTACCGACCTCGCGCTGACAGATTTCGGTTATACTGTCTTGTTACTCGTACGACGGGGAATACATCGTATCGTTGATCAGGGAAACCGAGGACCACGCACAGGAAATTCGTTTGGTTTATTTTCGTGTTATCGGTTCTGTTAACGCTAAAACTACCAGAGGCGTCAAATGACCCATGCCTGATGTCTTCTGCTTGCAATTATTAGAAAGGTAACAAATGTTTCTCTGAGAAAGTATCGAAGAAATTTATTTAGCACGAAAATTGAATTGTAAATCAATTAAAGTCTGAACAGATGCACTCTTGGAGTTTCTGCAGCGAAATTTTCAAAAGTCAATTGAACTCGGTAGTTTTAGTGTTAAAGTGTTCTCGATGAGTTCTGCTTGTAGTTTTCGTTGTAGGGCGATAGGAGCTTATTCTTATTTTTTAACCCTTCGTACTCGAGGGGCGCCTTACAGTCGCCACCTGATTCGACGCAGCAAACTTATGAAATATTTTTTTATAGATTTCTATACAAAAGCTATAAGCCTGAATCCATTAAGATTTCAATTGGCTTGCAGTTTAGGTATTACTAAATCAGCTCCTTCATTCCTCAAAGAAGCGCCTGTACATTCCAGTAACATCGAAAACCAGGAATAGATCATAGCGACTCTGGAGATTCTCCTTAAAACGTTAAAACCATTCCCAGCCGAACAGCTTCCAGAAACCAAACTCCCTATCTCGCCATCAAACTCCCTTCCCGCGACACTGAACGTCTCCGACTACATCCCCGCAGCGCATAAAAACCGGGCGATTGTTCGGCGAGTATCCGCGCGCAGACTTCTCGCCGCGAGGAATAAACCGAAGGCAGGTTCGCGCGTCTCGCGCTCGCGATCCCCGCGTCTATCGGCAAGATCAAATTCGTCGCCGGGAAGAAACGTCGTCTGAGCCTCGCGCCGGAATCTGTCCCGGCTGACGAGCAAAAGAGCACCGAGGGCTCCGCGGAACGAGCTTTTTTCGTTCGAATCCTCGCAAATTGCTCGCGGCGTCTCCGCCGTGCCCCGGGATCAAAAAGGGAAGTCGGATGCCGGCGCGCGCGGCGGGGCGAGGAAGAAGAAGAAGAAGGGGACCAAGG